CCGGCCTGGCCGCCTGTCCCCGCCTTCCCCCTCCCAGGGCTGCAACAGGTGCCTCCCAGAGCAGGAAGCTCACGCCGCTGCCGCGGCTCAGCTCAACCAGGCGCGTCCGGACTCGCTGCGCCAGGCGCGCCATCTCCGGACCCGGCGTGCGTCCCCACGAGGACAGCGACCCCGCCGCTCCACCTGCCTCTCTGCTCGCTTCCTGCCACCTTGCCACCCCACGGCGAGGGGCCCGGGAGAGAGCCCAGCCTGCCCTCGCCCCCCACCCGGCAGCCCTCCCGCCGCCTTGCGCGCCATGGACGCCCCGGAGCAGCAGCCCGACCCCGACGGCGGGGAGGGCAGCTCCCAAGACGAGTTCGACTTCTCCATCCTCTTCGACTATGATTATTTGAATCCTATCGAAGGTCCGTGGAGGCTCCCCCCGTCCCCAGGCCTGGCCTCCAAGCCCGGGCTGGGGCCTGGGGAGTGGGCAGAGGGCCTCTGTGCCCCTCCAACTTCCTGCGGGGCTTGGTGGGTGGGGGGTGCCTCTCCCCAGGTGAGAGGGAGGGCAGGAGGCGTCAGGGACTGCTGCCACCCTTAGGGGGCGGTAGGCTCACTCTTGCCCCGCAGGACGTCAGTTTCCAGTTACTTGTGACTTCTCCCTGAGGGTCACTGGTAGCAAAGCCAAAGGTGGCAGGGGCCTCAGCGGGCCGCTCGCCTGCTGCTGGGCGGTCAGAGGGCAACTGGTCAGAAGTGGTTTGCTTTTGGAGGGAGGGGGTGAGGCGGCCGAAGAATGAAGCTAGTGAGAGGGGGCTGGTGCAGAAAGAGGCTCCAACTGAACCTAATTATCAGGGCAGGTGAAAGCTGACCCGCCTTCCTCCAGGCGCCACCGGGGGTGGGGTGAGCGGCGTTTGTTGGGGGCCTTTGTATCGAAGCTAAGGAAGAGGTTGTCTGTGTCTAAAGCTGGAGTGCGGTTTGACTTCACTGTTAGGAGGCCAGCCCGTTTCCTCCGTGGGTGGTGCTGCTGCCTCTGCGAATTTCCCCGCCTCCTCCTCCTCCCCCCAGTGGATCAGTCTGAGCCTTAAGTGACACCCACCCCAGTCAAAATGCATGCGGGGGCGGGGGGCGGGGTGTTCAGCCAGCCTGTGCCTTCAAGTGCCCTTTTCCGCTGGGGGCTTGGGACTTCCCCAGGCTGGGCTGTCACTCACCTGTTCAATAGGAGCCTTCCTCAGACGGAGGAGGAGGCTGCCACCCAACCTCACTGTATTTTTCTGGTTAGCAGGTTGTCTTGGAAAAAAAAACAAAAAAAACCAACCAGGCTTCCTAATTTTGACAGCCCAGCCCAGCCCATGCTTGCTGGAGCCTAGGGGCAGGCCTGCTGGTAACTCCCAGATGCACCAGGGTCTGGCTGCCTGTGGAGTGCAGGAATTGGTTGTGCTGGCTGGTTTGTGCAGGCGGCTTTTTCACAGACTGGGGTGGGGGGGGGCTTGCTGTTTCCCAGAGGTGCTGTGTTAGGCAGGTGAATGAGAAGGTTTAACTTTCTGTCCATGCATCTTCAATGGCTACCTTAGGTGAGGGGCTTGCTGTGACCTCTGGGATCCCTTCCCATGGATACCAAGTGAAGGGGGGTAATTAGTAATTATTCTGTATGTTGGCTGGAGATGGAAATAATTAGCCAGAGAGGCCCGTCTTCTCGAGTTGCAATCTGGAGGCCATCCTTGGCTTTGAAAAGATGCACTGAAGAATCTGCAAATGATGCCTCTAACATCAGCGGTCTCTCTGTTCGTTAAGATTAAAGTCATGTTTTGCAGGGAACTAATACTTACACACCCCTCCCAGATTCACAATCGGCTAACTTTTTTTTTTTTTTGGCGGGGTGATTTCCGGGGAAATAGTTTCCAAGCCAGATCTGATCTGATGGGAAGCGCTTTTTATAGTTTTTCTTGGCAAGTGGAGCTTGGTGACCGCCAGATGGGTGTCTAAATGACCACAGTGAAAGCCCAGGAATTGTTTTTTTTTTCCTTTATAAATTATTTTTTGAAACAGTTTTAGTTTTACAGAAAAGTTGATAATATAGAAGGTTTCTATATACCCAGCACCCACTTCTCCACATTTTTACTATTTTACATTAGTATGTATTAGTACTGTTATAATTAAAGAACCAGTATTGATACATTATCAAGATCTAAAGCCCATACTTTATTGAAATTCAGGCTGTCCTTGTTTCTTGTGAGTTTGACAACTTTGAGGCACACTGGTTAGGTATATTGTAGAAGGCCCCTCAATTGGGGTCTTTCTAATGTTTTTCTCATGGTTAGACAGGGCTATGGGTTTTGGGGTGGAAGACCACAGGCGTCAAGTGACCATTTCCATCCCATCCTGTCAGGGGTCCCTGCTATCCACCTGATTTGTCACTGTTGCTGTTGACCTTGATCAGTTGGCCGAGGTAGCGTTTGTCAGTTTTCTCCACTGTAAAGTGATGCTTTTCCAAATTGTGCTTTCTCTAAAGAAGTTACTGTGTGTTGCCCTGTGTAAGGGGTGGGGAGTTATGCTCTGGAACCTGTGAAATAATGACTCCTTGCTGAGAAGTAGGCAGCACAGAAATGTCATAGTGCAGGAAGAGAAGGGAAGTCGTGAGCCTCGTGAGGCTAAAGCAAGCTGTTCCAGATGTGGGTGCGGCTCTGGCTTACCCAGATGTTAATGGGGTCCCCTCTCTCTGCTTCTGTGTGGTGGAACTCCCCAAGGGCCAACACTAGCCCTTATATTGCTACTAGGCTTTGTCCCAGGCGACAGCATATTGGTGATGGGTGTGAGGCGCTACCCTTAACTGGACATGAGCTTGGCAAAAACCAAGGAAGGAGAAAGGCTGCTATAAGGGACAGAGGCTGTCGGACATTGAAGGTACTTAGAGACTTGGGGGGAAGTCAGATGCTCATTTTATGGAATTTGAGCATGTAGCAGATGTTTATTAGCTCATGTCCTAACTCCTCCAACCCTGCAGGGAGGCACGGCTGTCACCCCCATTTTGCAAAGGGGGGTGCTAAGGCACAGAGAAGTGAAGAAATTTTACCAAGAAGTATTATAATAGCTGGGTAATGACAGAACAGAAACAAACCTGGAGTCCTGCTTCAGAGCCTGTGTTCTGAACTACGGCTGTTCTTCATTCCCTTGCTGGATGAGAGACACACGCACAGCAGTTTGTGAGGGGCCTGGCACCATGGCAAGGCCGAAATTTAAAACATTTACCAACTGAGTGATTTTTGGACAAGTCATTTAACCTCTCTGGATCTCCGTTTGCTCATCTGTCAAATGGCTGAAATAGCAGCATTTACTTTATAAGGCTGATTGCCTTAAATGGGTAGCCCACTTAAATCAGTTGACAGTGTGATTTGTTACTAGCATTTTATTAAACAAGCCCTTGGTATTTTGAATAGAGGTGCTCGGTAAATGTGAGCCATTATTCCATTATTTGTCCAACTAACTATTGAACACTTAATTGTGTTAGATCCTGGGGTTATAATAGGGAATAAGACCTGACCCTTCCCTCACTGAGCTAGAGCGTCTAATTATTTTCTCTTGTCTAATTGCATTGGCTGATATCTCCAGTAGTGTGCTCATAGTTGTGGAAATGGTAAGCTTCCTTGCCTTGTTCCTGACCCCAGCAGGAGGACCTCTAGTGTTGCGAGGTGTATGTGTTTAATTATGTCAAGGAAGTATCCACCCATTCCTATTTCTTTTAGGGTTTTGATTAGGAATGGGAGTTGAATTACATCACAAACTTTTTGGCATCTATGGAAAAATAGGATTTTATTCTTCTTAGATCTGTTAATATAGATTTCCTAATATTGAAACATCCCTGGTATAAACCCTTCTTGGTCACAGTGTATTATTTTCTTATGGTGGTGGGTCAGTGTTGGTTTGATAACATTTTATTCAAGATTTTTTTCAGCAGTATTCATGAGGAATATTTGTAACGTCCTTTTTTGGTGTGCTACTGGGTTTAAGTGTCTTTTATTTTCTATGCTCAGGAGCAATGTGTATATTGTTGGGACAATTCAGTTTCTAAAGTTGTGATAGAATTCTCCTGTGAAGCCATCTGGACCTGGTGCCTTTTTGGGGGGCTTATTCCGGAATCACTTTCTCTATTGTGCCTGTGGGAATTGGTGTGTCTACAACTTTTTGTTTCTACTGGAGTCAATTTTGGTAAACTGTATCTTTTAAAGAAATTACCCGTTTCCTCTGCCTAGGTTTTCAAATTTATTTGCCTAGAGGCATGCAGGGTAGATTCTCATTTTTCCCACTGAGGGAGACAGCTAAGTACATAGTAACAGAATGAATGGGGTCAGGCCTGTGGGAGTCCTCACCAGGACACCTGACCCCACCTTGGAAGGGAGAGATGTGCTGACCGTCAGCAGACAGAAGTTGAATCCTTTGTGCCTGCTTGTGAGTCCAATGAATTCTTACTTCTCCTAGCTGTAATACCCTGGGAGAGACAGATGGGTACTGGAAACCTCTGGTCACCTCCAGAGGTACCACATCCTCTCTGGGCTGTGTCAGGGATGATGCGTTGGGAGCACTCGTGTCTGGTGTGCCTCGGTGGGTCTGGTCTGGTGCAACCCTCCTTCAGTTGCTGGTAAGCTAATGCACAGGGCGCCAACTTGGACCTTTCAGGAAGGGAAACCATCCTGCTTATTGCTCAAAGAGTCTACCCCAGTGATCCTTAAACCTTTTGGGTCATGACCCTTTGAAAAGCTGATGAAAGCCGCCGATCCCATCCACACACACACTATCAGGGCACATGTGCACACATACTGTGCATGAGCACATCCCACCCCACCCCACATGTCCCCCTCTGCTCTCCTCTGTCCTTTCTGCCGTTTTCAGGGAGAGTTACAGACCCAGCTGTCGCCCGTTCTCTAATGTCACCTGTACTTCAACTCAGAAACACCTGCTCTCAACTCATTCGCAGGAGACAATTAAAACCTCATTCTCTCAGCAAACACTTATTGAAGGCTGGTTTTGTGCCAGGCCTTGTGGGGGTAGAGAGAGAATTAGATATGGTCCTGCCCTCGCCTGGCCCCCAGGCCTCTGTGGGATACGGCCTGGTAAACAAATAGGGACAAACGAGGTGCTAGGATATAGTATCATGGGGTTTTTTTTGGTGCTTACTAAAAATAGAGCTCTACCCTCAGCGAGCAGGTTTGCGAACATGTGACATTCAGAGCCGTTGTCGTCTGTGTTCAGTTAAGGACAGGCCTTAATAAGCTTGCTCTGCACAAATAGTGCCTCCAGCTGCAGCTGGAAAGGTGCAGTGAGGCCTAGAGTTGAGCAGCGGCCTTGTCAGGGAGGCAGAGGAAGCGGGAAGAAAGTTCCCTTAATCCTTCTTCACTATTGAACACATGTCATTCCAGCTTCCAGATTAAAA